AGCCCCTAGGACTGCGATGCCCCACGCTGGGCTGAGGTCTGAGCTGCCAGCCCTGGCACAGAGGGGTCGGACCATAGCCGCAGGGGACTCTGGCAGTGGTGGTTTCACCGGAACACGTTCACTGTTCACATCACAGCCGCCACAAATGCTGCCTTGCTGACAGACAGGTTCCTTCAGGCTGGGTTGGAGGTCCAAGGACATGCCTTCCTGCTCTCCCCAGATATTTAAAGGCTTTATAGAGAGGTGTCAAGGGAGTAGGGACAGTGGGGACTTTGCCAAGAAAGAATTATGGGGATAAAACTACCCAGGAAGAACGTTCTGTTTTCCCTGACGCCGGCAGCAGCTCTCATGCCCTGTGGGCAAACCTTGCCTTTCTGTAGCTCTTGGCTTCATGTGGCTGTGAGATAAGAGACGCTCTGCTGTGTGAATGCCCTCCTCACTTAAGGTTTAATTTCTCCCTGAATAACTCACCCCTCTTTTAAAAAAAAAAAATTAAAAAAGGGATTTCTTCAATGATTTGAAAGAGGTGGTGGAACAGAGGACAAGGAAAATGCAGCCAGCTTTAGGTCAGTGGGCAGGAGGACATTGGAGGGAGAGGACTCCCACTGGTGCTTCCGTATGAACAACAGTTATCAAAACGCAACAGGAACCTTTGGAAAATGATTTCACCTGTCAAATAAGGCCTAAAGCAGTTGAACTTCAGAGTTTGAACCTTTCCACGTCGTTAACCCTCAATTACATCTTTAGACAAGTACGACTGCTATTATTTCCTGTGTTTGAACAGCACCTAATGCTACCTTGTGTACCTCGGTCAGTACGAAGTTTGGCCCCTACCGTATGAAGGGCAACAAATTCCAAGGACCAAGCGTCCCACAACCCCATGTGTGACGGGTCTGTCACCTCCAGCCCTTACCCAGTGAGACACAGATGCCGCGCTCGGTGAGTTCCCGGATCACCTCACTGCTCCTCGACATCTCTGGGGCCAGGGTGACTATCCGGACGCAGTCCAGGGACCCGTAGGTGGCAAGCAGGTCCTGGAAGGCACCTGCCTCAAAGGTGCGGAGGCAGTGCTCCGGGTGTGCCCCCTTCTTCTCCTTGCTGATGAAGGGTCCTTCCAGATGGGCCCCTGCCCAAACAGGAACACAAAGTCATTACCCTTCCCCTCCCGGACAAGGACCAAGAAACTTGCTGTGTCTACCCTGCTCCAGTCAAGCTCTTGCCATTCTCCTGCAGCAAAACACGTGGCTCAGGTAACTCTGAGCTCAGCACAGAGAAAGATGTAGTGCTGGCAACTGGTCCGGCCAAGCCTCCCCCCTGCCATTACCCTGTGGGGCCCAAGAGGGCTGGAGCAGTGTGCGTACAGTGACAGAAACCAGGGCAAAGGGCAGGCACAGAATGAAGGAGAAGGCGGGTCTGTGCCCACCTGTGCATCCCTCCCAACAAGAGAGCTCCAGCCCCTCTCTGTAGCATCCCTACAGCAGCTTCCTTCCCCTTAACAACGAACAAAAAAATTGTGCCAGAGAGGATAGTGAGGAAGAAAACCACTTACCCAGGATACCTGCTCCGTGGGCTCCACCATTTCTTATACTGATTTGAGGGAGGACCTAGAGAGAGGGGGCTGTCAGACATGGCACCCCAGCCTGCCAAAACAAACCCAAACGTCGGCTTCACCGAGCTTTGCAGCTGGACCACTTGAGGCCATCAGCCAAACACAAGGAAAGAGCCCGCCACGATCCCGCTGTGCAAAGCTGGCCTGGGGGACATCACTCTCAGCGGTCTAAAGGTCACGGGCAAGAAACCCAGGGGCTCCTCAGGCCCACGGCTTTTCTGCCAAGGCAGCTATTCCAGTCTCTGCAGGCCCAACCTTGGCTCTCACATCTTGGGACCAACCCAGCCCCTTTATCACCCTGCAGAGAGCGGGGAGAAAGTCACTTACCTGGTGGTACACAGATGGAGGAGAGGTCACCAGGGTGGGACAGAAGGAGGTCACTCCGTGGGAGAGGATTTTCTGACTGACCAGGTCAATCCCTGATTTGAAGTCATCTGTAGCCAAGGAGAAGTCTACTCCAAAGCCTCCTGTGCCATGAACAGAGATGAAGCTGCAGCTTTCCCAGTGGCTATTTTCCCACCCAAAAAGGCCGAAGAAACATTCTGCGTGACTGGAGCGAGCCACAGTGTTTGTACAGCACTGGCCAGGAACAAAGGGCTCCACCAGCACTTCTGTCCTACATCTGCGTTTTTTGCTGAAGTGCTTTTCCGCACAGCATCCCAGCATTTTGCAAGCACCAACTCTTTGTTTTGATGCAGGGCAAAATTTGAGGATTCCCCATTAAAGGGAGGATCAGACTTCCAACATAAGCTACCACAGAACAAGCCCCTCTTGACCCCCGGGAAAGAGCCACTGCAGGTAACATCTGTGGCTTGGAAAGTCCTGCTCTGTCCTCACCCTGGAAAGGGTAGGGTGGGCACCCTGCCAGCACAGGGGCAGGATAAAATGTTGATAAAAATGAGGTGAAGAGGGAAGCCCCCAGCCAGCCAAAGGGGATCCATTACATGCCAGCAGCAACCATGGGCAAAACTGCTCTTTATCGTTAGTTTGGTGACTCACATCTCCCTCCAGCAGCTCAAACGCACTCGGTCACGGGCAGGATGCAGGCAGCAGGGTTGTAGGTCTGGGACGGACAAACCCGGGACCCCCCACCCCTCTGCGAGCAGCCACGGCCTCACCATACCGTTGATCTGGACATCGATGAAGCCCGGGGCGATGATGCTGTCCTTACAGTCCAGCTGGATGTCAGCAGAGCCCTTCTCGTCGAAAAAGAGTTTCTCCGGGTTGAGGATCTTCCCCTCTCGCACCCACAGGTC